GTTCGACCATTTTCGTGGATGTCTGGTTTTGTGGTTTTATGTCGTGATTTTTTATTTTTCTCCACCATCGTTGGTGACCAGATTCTGTCAGCTTCTTGTTCACGCCGTCCGCTGTGAGCATTAGCTCCGGTCGCGGTGAACCGGCAGCCATCAGAACCAGGTCTGGACTGTGAACGGTTGCACTGGGAGCGTGAAATGGGGCAAAATCCGAACTGCTGTACCAACTGCCGGCAGGAGCAAAGTCTCTCGAGAATTGGCAGATTGGAGGCGCCATCAGACCAGGCTGGCCGACCAATGCGGAGAGAGGTGAAGCGCCTTGTGCCAACAGACCCAATGACTGGTTGGACTCAGCGCTGTTGGGGCCATCCGCCTGCAGGTTCTTGAAGAGATCAACATAATGCATGAAGGTAGATTCACATAGCAACGAATTTCTCATGCAATTTTATATGAAATGTAGTTGCCCCCAGCAACAATGCATCAATTCAGGTTACAGGTTAACTTGATACTGGCATACCTTTCATTTCGTCTGCGAAGGCGGGTGGAAGATATTATTTCGGGTACCGAAGGCTCACCGTTCTACGGCCTCGATGATGCTGTGCGGAGCTTTTTTCCGTCATGCTAAAAGCATCTTCAGAGCCCGAACACATTATTTATCAACAGTCACAAGAAAACACTAAACCAGGAAAGGTGGCAGGCTGAAATTGTACATACTTTTTATGCGTTAATTTGCACTTTTAATGAGGCATTTCATGATTTGATGCTTGTTGAGTTAACTTCCACTTCGAGTGAAGGTGTTTGCTGAAGTGTTTCGAAGGTCGATCCCACCAACTGTCGATTGGCTTTATTGCAACATTTCTGTTCCGGTGAAAAAGTTCTAGGCTCTGGTTCATGGTATGATGGACGCCCTCAGAGCAGGGCTTTCTTGAATATGCTTGTGAGGATGATAACCAGATCTGATGACTTTTGTCAGAATCAAAAGAGATCGCCTCAGGAACATTCGTGCGAGTGAAGCCAATGCGGAAATGGGAATGTATGTTGTCACAACTTTTATTTATGTGAATAAACCAGCATATGATCCTGTCATCATAAAGCTTATTTTAGCTTCGTGGATGCGGGTGTATTGTGTGTATGCAGCGGTCATAAGTTACTTGGCAATTTGGGATTTAAAACTAGAGACTTCTCAAATCATACTTATGCTGTTAAAGTAGGGCCAAGGAAGTAAATGATAATAAGGAGGTTACGTAAATCATCAAGAAAAGAAGTTAGTGAGCCTAAGAAAAATCTAATTTGAGAGCTATTATCTGTTAGGATTAAGTGTTGACAACTTCGAAATGCTAAGACCAGAGCGAGGGAAAACCATTAATTATGACAAAACAGGACATTAGATAGCTCTGGATCCAGGCTCGTAATGCGAGCATTCTGTCAGCTTTCAAGAAAGATAGGGGAATTACTTGGGAAATGGAAGGTACGATCATGAATGAAGAAATGCTAACGCTTTTTCTTCGGTCATGTGTTCTTTTAGAGAATTTTCAGACGCCCTCTGCAGATCAAATTATTATAAGGTTTTATACTGGTGTGCTAGTGTTTATGCGTAGGAGACTTGTCGAATCATAAATAAGAGGATACCAGAACACAAAACCGTCTGCAAAGATTTATGGATTCAGAAATCGGAAATGGTATTGCGTAGGATCACTACAGCACACCAGATGCAGTGGTCTAAACACCAACCTTTTGTTGGACCTGAGGATTTCACAGTCAAGCGGAGGATCAGGAAGTCAATTGAACTTAACAAAACCAACAACATCATAAATAAGAGGAATGAATGTAGAAAATTTGATGAAAACTATTTCTGGCTATTGGATATAATTAAAGGGATATAGTGAAAGGGAGGGATGAGGAAGAGCCACCGAGTAAGAGGAAAAGACTTGACTAACCTTGAATCTGGTTTGCGACCCTAAATTGCCAACCAACTCGTGAACGCTGCATACACACAACGCACATACATACATGGCGTTAAAACAAGTCTCCTGATTACAGGATCACATGCTAATTTATTTACATGAATAAGAGCTGTAATCACATCCGTTCCTCTTTCTGCATCAACTTCACGCGCTCGTATGTGCATAGGACAAGCATAAAGCAGCCAACCAAATCATGAAATGCTTCATCAAGATCGCAAAGTGAAGTATAAGAAGTATGCAGAATCACAGCTCGCCAGCTCTTTTGGTTTAATGTTTTTTGGTTATTGTTGGTGAATAATGGTTTCTGACTCTGAGTATTTCTGTGGCACGAAGGTCAAAAGCTCATCGCGGAGTCGTCGGGGTCGCAGGACAATGAGTCGAGATTCTCTCCGACCATACAACATTCAAAAGTCCAAGGCAAGCCTCCTTGGATTTTAGGTGAGGCCAATTCACGAGTCTATTCAATTTGCTTTTTCAGAAGAAATATATTTTATGCCAGTATCAATCTGAAAAGTGACTATTCAAAACATAGCTTCTCTTCACATGCAGGTAAACTTCTTGCATTTTTTTACTTTGCCATTAAAGCTCGAAAAAAAGAACTCGATTTTGCAAAAGAAGCTATCGTCAACATTTTTGTCTACAGCATTACTAAGAAGCGCCTACTTTGGTACCAAGCTGCACCTGGTCAAGGTAACAATCTACGCTTCCTCATCCCTCAGCTCCACTTAGTATGAATACTTAATCTATCCTCACATTGCCATATGAAAAAGCATTAAGAGATGAGGATAAAGTGCTGGAAAGTAGAGCAAGACTGTCTTTTTATTCTCACGTTTGACAAGTTATTGCTCATTTTTCGTATTTAAGTAGAGTTTCTAGACTACTAATAAATCAGTAATATGAGATGTATTCACCCTATTTCGTTTAAGATGATGAAGGACTGGTAGTGAAAATAGGGTGAATGCATCTCATATTACTGATTTACTGGTAGTCTCGAAACTCTAGTTAAATACGAAAAATAAATGACGTAGTCGATTGTTATAGCAAATATACGTTTGCTTCATCGAAAATCCCACCAAAGAATATGATACGGCAAAAAGTCCTGACCTTCTTTGAAATTCACATTTGCCCTCTGACCCAAGCGCACTCGTGGCAATGTGGACGAGTGGTTAACGTGTCAAGCTCACATTACTCACTGTCACGGTTCGACTCCCGCTGGGGGTGTTGATAAGACCGATGTGAGGTCGAAACTTCAGTCCACTGGTGCCTAGATGAGAACAACTTTTTGGAAAGAAAGGCTATGTGAAATTCAATGGAAACGTCAGCTCAACTCATGTCATTGTGGAAAAATTCGACTACCAGTCCTTTATCACCTTAAACAAAATGGGGTTATTTCTCAGTCTTACGGAATGCACTTTTTATTGGTGTTATAGGAGGTATATTTGGGAATGTATCAGGTCAAGAATTCACTACTAGAAATTGTCATGACTACAGTGGCATGTGAGTCAAAACTGAGTCCGTTCTTCGCAGTCTATCTGGAACTATTAGCGAGCATGGAAAACTATGTGAAACCAATGCTATAGAGACAGAGGAGATTGCAACCAAACCGAAGGCCATCCTGTTTATTAGAGAGCAATTCGATGTAAGCATTAGCTTTTACTCAAATCTCGGTTGGTCAAGGATAGCTTGGAGCCATGACAGGATTGGGAATCATTTGGTGAATTGCGAAGAAATAAGAGTTAAGCCAAATTACCCCAAATCTCCATCTTTTTTTTAATCGCTTTCTCTTAGCGCGGAACTTTAATTACACCTCTTAGCACAACCGGAGCGTATCGTTTGGCGACTGAGAAATGGAACATGTCAAAAGTAATTTAGTCATAACGACACCTTATTCTTAACGTGAGCGTTCTACTCTCACATGCTTCATCACGATCCTATGGATGATTCGAACCTCGTGAACACGATGATGAAGCCAGATTTATTACTGCTTTGGATAGATGACCCAAGCTTAATCGGCATATAATAGGGTTATTATTTTCATAATGAGTCAAGCCTCCTACCTAGCTTTTGTAGTTAAGCGTTGGTAGAAATTTCCTATTTTGCTGTAGAACAAACATATGAACATCTTGATAAATGCAATCAAGACGACAATTAACAGTTTATCTAGACTGATTTAACTTATATGAGGTGTATTTACACTATCTCGTTCAAGGGATAAGGGAATAGATAGTTGAATTTTCAATGAAAAATTTATCTTTTACGTCTGGGCCGATCTCTTATGTATTCATAAAGTGGTTTGCCTTATTGCCATCTATCTTGCTGCTGGCTGAGTGTTTACCTTTTTGGAAATCTTTAATAACCAAAGACACTTAAGGAAGTACACAAGTGAGGACCGCCTTAAAATATTTATATATACAATAGAAGGAAGAATAAATCCTCAATTATTTGATAATTTTAAAGAGGACGTTTCTATAATGACTTGTTTCTTAAGTAAAAAATTGATTTCCACACATTTAGCAAATAAGTAAAGCAAAATAATATAGTGTTTGCTAGTCATACAAAAATGGCTCAAGTGCATATCACTTAAAAAGTAGTATATCGAATCTTGAAAGAAGACACAGGTTATGCTGAGTGCCGTTATTACAATTGATAGTTAGCTGCTCTAGCGAACAGGGAATATCATTTGCATGAATTCAGATCTGCTTTCATCGGTGGTACATTACTCGGCGCACCAATTAACATTTGGCTGATATGTGACATGATTAGTGTCCCTGATTCTTCAGTGTTTTATCCACATATTACTTGCTTGTATCAATTAATTTTCATCTTCCTGGAACAGCAAATGACTAAACTCTCTCCTTCTCCCTCTCAAATATCTATCTGTGTCTAACGCTGCAGAATGAATGAAATTCACTTATGTTCATGCGAAAATGAATACAACTATCATCTTAGTTTATTTAACGAGGTTGTGTATTTGAGCGTATGATCTACTTTTACAGTTACCTCAAGTAATACAATGCCATATTATGCCAACTGGTAAACTTGTCTTCTGAACGCATATTTGCTATTATATTCTCGCTGAATTGTGCATTGGAAACTAGGCTTGTTTGAACCCTTCAGTCGGCACTAATTAGGAGCAAATGATAATGCTACAGGATTAGTCTTCATCTGGTATCCAGTAAACCTAAATATGAAACAATGTAGCATGAACCATCAATCGCGACTAGAGCATAGTCAACCAGATACTTTCTGATTGAATTAACTTGACAACCGATCTACAGAGAATGTATAATTTGCAACTGCAACAATCAAAGCAACATTATTATGTAGCCAAGGGTGGTGCCAAGCCTTTGTGCTGAAGTATCCAGCGGAGAAAAGTGAATAGAAAGGTTGATAGGGAGGCAGATGAGCAAGTGGAAGAAGACAGATGGCCAGAGGGGCCAAT